TTAACAAGAATCAGATCGAAAGTTTAGATTTGAAAACCATTACATAAAAGTAGAAGTCCTAATGCATACGTTAAATCAAAAATGATTCCATCCCGTGAACAAACGGGATCCTCAAACGGTAGTAGTGACAGAGAGCAATGCGTAATTGGCAGACGCTTAAATAAAGCACGTTGCATGCGCCTACCGGTATCTGTAAGATTTTTTTATGATTCTAAAATGAAACACTAAAATATTCATAAGAATTTTCTATTATTTCAATATATTTTTAAAGTTCTAAAGTATTCGTGCAATTTTTTTTCTTTGATCCTAATGTTAACTTGAGTATTTTAGTGTTTAACTTCAAGCCATCCAAATCTGAACTTTAACACGAAATACTTTAATTCAAGCAAATCGATTCATTTTAAATCGCATTCGTCAACTGGTTATAGAAAAATATACCATCTTTGTGACCGCCATAAGTTTCTTTCCATTCGGTAGTTGTCAAATATCTGAAAAGTAAATGCCTATGACTAAATGTGTAATTATTTGGTATATAAAAAAAAAGCAAGGGTGGAATAGAATAGAATTAAGAAGACGGAAATAAAACAATTTAATCAAACTGTTAAAAAGCTGCGCTGTTTCCTCATTCTTATGTGAATCCCTTTTGTTATTGTGTAACTTGTTATCTAACCCTCCCCCCCCCCCCCCGACAATTTCTTTTTTTTATTTTTTGCTTATTCCTGCTTGTCTCCCGCATTTGCTTAGTTAAAAAATATCAGCACGAAAACTCTTAGGGTTAACAAAAATGAAATAAATTTTTTGGCAATGAGAGGAAAAAAACAGGAATCCCCGAAATTTCCCGAAATTCAAACCTCAAATACATGGCAAAATTTAACGGTTATACCAGCATCAAATTCTTGGCAAAACTGTCCAAGGAAAAGTACCAATGCGTTTTCAATTAGTAAAGTTTAGTTGAAAAAGAAAAACAACTTACAGTTTATCTTTCTGGTGTTGCTTTTTCCCCATGTTTGAAAAGTTATAAAAACAACAAATTCAATTCTGAAATTTATAAGGAGAAGAAAAAAGAAAACTCTGATAAAATTACACTTTTACATGCAAATTAATGAACATAAATACCTAAATTGTTCATATAAATGTGTCTTAACTTAAATCATAAAACTTTAGCACTTCTATTGATCCAATTAAATTCGCCAACTTAACTTCTTACAATAATTATATTGAGATTTCTTGAAGTTTTACTAAATCATTCCTGTAACATATAATATCCCATCATACATATCGCGTAATGTTACAGAGAAGAACGAGCCACTTAGGCAGAAAATGACTGTACGAGCGCAACTAATCATAGCTGAAGCGCTATGCAACTTTGTTGTCCATTGGAAAATTTATCACTAATGAATCAATATCGTTGAATATTTTACGAGAAGACGACAAGTTCTAAGTTATACTTTTTCTGTTTTACAATAGATTTTAAAATTTTTAGAAAAAATTTAAAAAATTCCGATAAAAACTTTAGGACACACTGAAATCAATTAACTATAGCTTGAATAATTCAAAAAACTTAAAATACATTTATGTAATTTAATTTACTTTATTAAATTACTTCCACTTATTAGTTAAAAAATTTCCAAGATCTATCAATTAAATCAATTCGGCCAACTTAAACTTACTTTTGAAACACTTATTAGATTAGCATAATAACAATTTTGTCATTCTTTTCATGATAACTTCATTTTTTTGCTTAATTCAAATCAATTTAGTCTAATCTTCAAAAAGAATTAATTGATTAATGATTTGTTTCCTTTTTCGTTTTTTTTTTTTGTTATCATATCATATATCTTCTGAAGATTTTTTCGTGTTAGTTTTTAGAAATTTTAAAATATTTTATTTAATTTCAATGAAAAACTGTAAATAAAATTACTAAACTTTATTATAAATAATATTTTAAATTGTCTTATTAAGCATCGTTTCATAATATTACAGTCAAAGTTATCTTCATTATACTCCATATCTTTTATCACCATTGCATTTTATCCATTTTATGATTTATTTCCGGCAGATAATTTCATACTTAAATTTCTAGCAAAACCAGATTTTATAAATCTTGAAGGCAAAATTCCTGAATTATATTACAAACCAGAATTGAAAAAATCATGATGCAAAAGAGGAGTTAGAAATGAATTGACCAATATTTGCATATTCTTGGTTTGAAAGAACCTGAACATGCATGATAATATTGCATATCAGTGATAATTTATACAAGGATATGATAATTTATCAATTCTTGTTTTATTGCAATGAGATAAAAAAAAGATTTTATTTTTCATTTTTTAAATTTCATGCCAATTTGTTAACATACAATTGAAACAAAAAAAAAAAGTGTTAAAGTGAATGATAAAAGGTTATATTGATGAAAAGATAATTGGGAAAAGGTACAAATAATAGCAGTAATCGAAATGAGTGTTAAAAAGAAAAAAGTTAATTTGAGAAGAATTCATTGGAATACCGCGATATCGCGGAATAAAAATTTCATATTTCAACAACTATTATTCCAACCCACAGACAGTAAATGCTTTCATTTAAAAAAGGAAAAAAAAAACAAAATAGGGCACTAATTTATAGTAATCATCAAAAATTTCCCGTTATTTCGCGGAATTTTAGCTTACATCGCATTGGATTGAATTGTGCTTTCCATTCGTGAAATTTCCTCTGCAATTTATTATTTTTCTTAAAATTTGTATTTTAAAGAAACCAATTATTCAATCAATCAATACTTTATATGTCAAGTTCTTTCAATTGGATCAATATACTTTTTGTTTTCATCTTGAAAAAAGAAAGAAATAAAGTAGTATCTAATGTTAAATATCGGTAAATTTTTATACCACTAATTAACACACCTATTATATTAATTGTATTACAAGAGTTAATTTAATCAGTCAATCAATCAATAATTCCTATGTTACAACATTATGTGTGATTATTTCATATGAGAAATTGAAAATTTTTAACTCGAAATTCTTCCTCTTTTCTTTCCATATCTTCATTTGCAATTTTTCGTGCTAATAATTGTCTTTTCCAAGTTGGCAATAATTTTGTCGTTCCATCAATAAACTTTGGCACTTGATTAATGTATTTATCCGGTGTACATGCCTTTCTCATCTTTTCAATATCAATTTCTAACTGTAATTTCAAAAATAAATTTAGAAAATTCGAAAGCAAATTTTAAGAATTTATTAAATTATTTTTGTCAACTATAACAATTATTGGGAAGTAACACTGAATTTTTTTTTTTGTCATTTTTCAAATTCTTTTCTTCTAAAATGATTTAGGTTAATAGGTTCGCCCAGAAGAATCTCATAATGCTTCTTTTTTTTTCTTTTTTTTTAATCCTCATATTTCAAGAATAAATCAAAACGATCTCGCTATTAACAAATGAAATAATGCCTGGAATATTTTCATCACATTTGAATTTATAAAATTAATTAAATTTTTATTAAAAGCAACAAATAAATATTTAAGTAACGAACCAATTTTTGCTGTTCAATTATTAAATCCTTTTGTTTTTGCTTATAAGCCTTCAATGATATCATACCATTCGGTAATTGTTTCAACTCTAAACGCATTTTATGTTACATTTGAATTTATCAAATTTTAAATTCAATTTTTCTTTTTTTTGGAAATTAATAAAATTTTAGCTAGAATCCATTTATTGCATAAAGTTAAGGAAAAGAAATATGAGAGGAATAGGTTGTAATTAATACAATGTAAAATGTTAGAGATTTAATGAATAATAATCGAGAATATCATAATTTTGACACTTATGTGACCCGATGTATCTTTCTATCTATCTTTTCTTATCCTTACTCATTGATAAAATAATGTGTTTGAGAAAGTTATCATTTATCACCTCAAATTATATCACTAACAAAATAGTGTATTATCACTTGTCATCTCAAATCATATCATTCATTTAAATCAATTGCTTTAATTGTATGGAATTTTGTTTGAAAAAAAATAAATAAATAAAATAAAAAAATTCAACAATATACGAATGAAAGAGTAAACCTTGAATTAATTGATCGTTGAGATGACCATTGGTCGAAATGATTGGTTTAATTTCATTCGATTTATTGTCATACTCTCGTTTGTTATCTTTGCTTTCATATGTATTTCGTACGTAAATTGAAATTTTAATTTTTAATTGATATATATATATGAATTTGTAATTTTGTTTTAATAATAAATGGAGTTTTTTAATAATTAAAATTATCACGAATAAAAATTATAATCTATCAAAGCCTTTTTTTTTTCTCAAGACAGGTGGATTATAAAAATTATTCAAGAAGACGCTTCAAAGTTAATTAATAAAAAAATTTTTTTTTTTACCATATTCATAAGTAGGTGAATATTTTAAATTGTCTGATATTGATGCGATTTTCTGAAAGTAAATCAATTTATCATTGAATCATTATATTTTCCCTTACCGTTATCATTATCATTAAATCATTATATTTTCCCTTACCGTTATCATTATCATTATAATCATTATATTTTCCCTTACCGTTATCATTATCATTAAATCATTATAATTTCCCATATCATTATCATTAAGATTTTTATATTTTCCTGTTTTATAGGATAGTAATTTGGTAGAAAATTAGAAATTAAATTGAAGAGAAGAGAAGAAATCAATAACAATATATTAAATGATATATATATATGCATGGATTACGTGGGAGGGATAGTTTAGGGGGAAAAAAAAAGAGATAATTCAAAGAATTGAAACTTTCATTAATATTGAATAAATTTACAATTAGATTAAAATGACCCAAAAGGTCAAATTGTCAAGTGAGATTTTCACGATATTTGTCAATTTCATTTTTATTCTTTGCTTTTTCTTTTTTTTATTTATTAAATAATTTCCGCATGAGTATGTATACATTAATGTATGTTTGTCAACAGTTTTGTTATAATTAATTAGAATTTGAATTTGAAAAACAAATTTGTGCCAACAAAAATTTATCACATTTAAATATTGTCAAATTTTATGGAAAAAAAACAAAAAGAAAGTTACTTGTGAATTTTGTCGCATATCATTAAATGACATATACTTATTATCATCCAACAATGCATTATTCGAATCATTCAAAACTTCATTCTCCATTATTTCATTAGTATTATATCGTTGATAAATATTATCTAAAATTTAGCAAAAAAAAAAAAAACGATAATAAATGATCAAAATGCTATTGAAAAATTGAATTCTCATGAATAATTCATTGGTTAAATTCCCTTCGAATAGCTAAACATATTGAATTGCTTTTAAATTATCTCAAAAAGTATAAATATAAAAATTTTCAGACAAATAAATTTCAAAAAAAAAAAACAAAAATCACTTATATATTGTTTATCTTTGGCCAATGTTTGCTGTCGGATAATTGTTTCGATAAGTTTTTGCTTTTCTTGCACCGTACTACTCGGTGATAACGATTGACAATTGTTGATAAAATTATGATGTTGAAAATTTGTGATAAATGAATTGTTGTGAATTTTGGACGAAGAACTGAATGATGTTGAAGTGATGTTTAATTCGGAAAATTTTGAATGTTCCGATTCTTCCGGAAAATCCGTTGATAATTTCCATTCAACGGATCCATTTTCTATAACAGTTATCATTTTGCTTTTATTTGATCCGTTATATATCGTAATTTCTGGAGTATTCACTGATAAACTTCCAATTTGATATATTGATGCTTTTTGCATATTTTGTTCCTTTCTCTTATCAATTTTTATCTTTTGTTGATCACTTTCAGTTCTCGAATATTGTTCATTCAATTCCATGGATCGATTCAATTTTTCAACTGCATTGGTTGAAACTGTATTGGGAAAGTACTGGAATGAGTTAACATCCGTTTGATCGGATGAATTTCCGGAATCTCGAATTCTCTTATCCGGATAATACGATTTTTCATTAATATTTGAATTATTTTTGTTGTAAAAACCATAATGTAATAAAGATGGATTGCCAAGAATGATATCCGATTGACGGGTCGGAAAAATTAATGTACCAATTGAACGATTTTGCATTTTCTAAAATAAATTCATTAAAAATATTTGTCTATTCCAGGAAAATGATCAATTCGTCTTATCATTCAATGCAATCATTCTACCAAAAAAAAATGAAATTATGTAAATAAGAAAGTTAAATAAAATAAATTCAATCGTAAAATTTGATAACGAAATTTTACAAAAAAAAAAAAAATTTGCATAAAAATCTTACAGATTAGATTAAAAATAAATTGCCATTTTAATGAATGCTTTCCTTTTTTTCCACAATTAATTTACATTAATTCTGAATTATATCATTCAAAATTCCTACAACATAATATTTAAGGTAATATATGCATGTAAGCTGAATTGAAGACTGAATAATATATCGGCGGAAATGATTGGATAAATAAACAATAATGATAAAAGCGCCATATAAGTTAGATTGAGAATTAATTAACACAGTGGTGGAAAATAGTTGAATAAATTTCCTGTACTTGATCAAGTTTATAATTATTCAAATTTTTTTGTTAAAATTTTAACAGTATTATTAAGCTCACATACAAGATAAGAAGATAATATGATAACAATAATTTACTACATGAAGAATTTGAACAAATATGCAATGTTCTCTTACTTCAACAATACTTAATTTAATTCACACACACACACACACACACACGCACACACACATACACATACACATGCATACACACACACAGACATACATATATCAATGATAATGAAATCGACAAATGGATCGTTTCCTCTCGAAAGTTTTAAATTTAAAAAAAAAGGTTTCGTAAGGATTGGATGGGTGTGGAATTATCAAGCGATGTATTCAAATGTTATTATTTCAAAATTGAAATTTTAATTATCATTGATTGTTTCATTTAGCAAAATATGGTAAGGAAAAAGTGAAGAAATATGAAAAGAGTAAGTCGAAAAAAAGGATTGTTGAGTGATAAGCCAGGAATAATCAAATAATCAATCCTTATCAATGTATGTGCCAATGATAATTGGTGATAACGCTTGTTATCACTTCATTTCATTTTTTTATGCTGTGTTCACAAGTAAGCATTCAAAAATTGAATGCTTGATGATTCAGAAAATGATCGAACGATAGTTAGTTATCTGATGAGTAATATCATGGCAAATAAACCAAACATAATTTTTTTTTTTTGCTAAATTATTTGATGTAATTATATATATATATATATATATATATATATATATATATATATATATATTA